TTCCTCTGTGTTTTGCCTCAGATAATGTGTTTATGTGTAAGTACGTAAAGTAATCCTGATCCATCATGTTAATCATCATCCTTAACCCCTCACTGTGGGTTATCTTGAGAATTTAGTCTGTCATACCCACACATTGCCTTTTGAGGCAATGGAATAGTGCCATCTGGTGACAGCAGCAGTGTCACCAGCCTAATTTGAAGCAGGACACCCCCCCCACCCTGGGCAGGAATTCGCGTGGAGCCTCGGTCTCCCCTTGTAGGTGTGTTTCACTGAGTGGAGCTTCTGTTCTTCTGTCTCACTTGTGATTGAAGTGTGCTGGTAATGGGGATAGGACGGGCTGAGCCCCATCGTGTGGTGAAGGCCACACATCCACCAGCGGGCCTCTCCTGGGTCCCAGTGGTCCCTGGGCCACGCAGAACATGGAACCAGATAGACAGCTTGGAGGAGAGCATCATTTGGAAAACCAGCTGTGGTGCTGGTCGTCAGGTTCCAGGACACCTTCAAGGGCCACAGCGTAGTGATTCTTGTGGCCTAAAGACATCGGACGCCTTTGGCCACTGCAGCTCAGATAGGATCTGTTCATTCTCTGTCCAACAGTGTCAGGGCTGAAGCATGTGAGAGAGAGCTTTCTGAGATACCTAAAGTGGAGCCTGGCGTGCCGTGTACTTGCTCAGTGAGCCACCCGCCAGATGGCCACGCCGACTGCTGCAGCCTCAGTCAGGGCTCACGTCTGTGTGGGACTGGTTTCATAGTTTTCCTGGAGGTTAGTAGTGCCCAGCTTCTTCCTACTTGCTGGTAAGCTCTGCTGATCTTCACATAAAAGAGAGGTTATTTCCAAGAGGTACAGCAGCAACAACAAAATCATAAAAGTGCAGGCAATCTGCGATGTCACAGCCCGCCTCTGACGGCTGTGGCCCGTGCCTGCATAGGACCCAGGGTGAGGAGGGGCACTGTTGTCACCCAGACCTGGCCTCTGGGTGGAGGCTGTGATGCCCCCTCCTGGGGGCCCCTCCTCACCTCAACTGGGATGTGGGTCTGGCCTTTTGGGAGGTCCCTACTGTCCCTTATGTCTCTGAGAACCAGCAAGCTGATTATTAAAATACCTCTCAATTGGGTACTCGATGGTCATTGTTGAATTACATCAATCTTACATGACTTTCAGAATACTGCTTTCTTTCAAGGTCAGCTATCTTACAACATGGTCAGTTAAGCCTATTTGTCTTGGAAGCAGTTAGTGAAGTTGTGGGAAGTAATTTTTTAAAAAAACAAACCCACCCACACTGTATAAAGTTCTTTCTGTGCCTCCAGCGACGATGCTACGTAGCCACACAGAGGTTCCTAAGAGTTTGCATGAGACCATTTATATTTTAGAGTGTAAACCATTCTGTTTTTCTTTGCAGATTTCCCACCGTGGCAGTAAGCATTGGATTCGCTGTAAACCAAGAGGTACATGGTGGGTGGGTCCCCCGGCCAGTGGTCCTGAGCCCCTGAGGCCTGGTTTAGCACCTTCCTTTTTGGGTTCCATCCCAGTACTCCTGTTTTCCCGTCTTTGTCATGTGCCTTAATCATGACTAGTAAATTCAAGCATGTGTTTTTCAAATCCAAGAAAGTAAACAAATAAAAACTGGTTTTGGGGTGTGCAGGTTTGGGACTCCATGGCCAGCCCACCCCCGTGGTGGCTGACCCTTGTTCCCACCATGGTCTTTCTGTGATGCTGCTGGAGAAGCATGGAAAGGGAAGTTCTGAGCAAATGGTCCACGTTAGTCTCCCTCTGACCCCTGGGGCGTGTGACCTAGTCACACACAGAAGAAACTCCTATTTTTGGAGGACATTTTTAATCCCAGTATTTCATTAGTTCTTCCTCATCCTTCTCTAGCTATCAGCATGAGAACGAGACTGCTGCAGGGTTCCCATCACCCGTAGAGCTACGCAACGTCACAGGACCATAGGATGCATAAAGGCGTTAATCAATTTAAGCAGTGACACTTAACACTTCCTGTGCAGTCACCACAGTTATATTTAAATAGAACGGGGGGTTCGTATTTTCCAAAAGCAGCCCTCCGCCAGAGCACTGTTTTCTCTTCTTCACCCTCAGTGCCAGCATCAGTTCTCTAGCATGGAAACTGAGAGAAGTTTGTACCCGTGTAACAGTACTAAGGTGAAGATACCTAAAATTTTTGAAATCTGGTTAAGGAGTTAAATGCTCACTTGTCTGTCTGTTAGGTGTCATTGAGACCGAATAGGAGGCTGAGCATTAAGCTCAGAGGGTGACGCTCATGACCACGTGTCAGTAACTGGGTTTGGGGGACAAAATGCTGTGGGCGGGCAAGGTCTCCGATGGCAAGGCCTGCAGCCCCGCTGGGCCCAGTGCGAGTGCGCGCAGGTGGTCTGGGCTTGTAGTAGAGGGCTCTGGTCAAGGGGAGCGTCCCAGCTTTCCTCACCCCTCCCTCCTGCTAGCAAAGGCCTCCAGGCCCCCCAACCACCCCAGGGGCACAGGGTCTAGAGGCCCGTGTGGTTCTAGGACTACGCTTGTTTGGGAACCCCCTGAAAGCCAGGGTGAGGGGTAGGGAGGAAGATAGTGAAATATTGCTGGAAGGCCGACTGAATGATCCTCCTCAGAAAAAAACCCTCTTCCTGCCTTGCTGGGGAGTCCATTCCACTGTGGTCGAGCTCACCCCGGACTAGCTGAGACTCTCCCAATAGATTTGGCCTGGGTCTCTCTTTGTTTTCCAGGGAAATGAAAACATGGCCAGCCCCCAGACCACACACACTTGCTCCTGTCAACCCCAAATAGCGACCAGTTGGTAGAAGAAAGAAGACAAAGCACGTGTGTGTAGGGCAGCGTTCTGTCCCACTCTCACCTCTTCTTTTTACTGTACCTATGGGAGGCTGCCGTCTGAGGCCGAGTGGCTGCAGTTTGGCACTCCACCTGCACAGGGACACACCCCTCCTTGGTGAATCACCTCTCCCTCTCGGCCATCCTTGACTTGTGATTCTGTCATCAGCTTTACAGATGTATTCCTAATTCTTCACAAGTCAGCAACTTTGAGGGCTTCTTGTGAGGATTAGTCACGAGTAGCCTTCCCCACCCTCCACCCCCCAAAACCAAGGCCTTTCTGAAGAATTAAGTTTTTTCAATAGCTTTCAGTTACTCACGCTTGATTATGATGTTAATTTTTAGTAAAGCTATATTAGTGTTAGTATATTTTAAAGCATGTCATTTTCAAAAAGACATGTCCAGTTTTGAATGGAGACACTAATGTTTTTCAGTTCCCTTTTGTGAAGGAGTTTCCATCACACTGGTCATAACACCAAGAACACCTTTCCCTTTGAATTACTGTCTTATTTTCTGTGTCAAATAAGCGAAGCATTTTTGTTTTCTATCCTGCCCCTGCACCCCACAGCTGGAATTTGGAGTGATTTACCACTGCACAGAGGAGCGGCTGTACACAGGCCGGAGGGGCCGGGGCGCCTTCTGCAACGGCCAGCGACTCCGGGTCTCCGGGGAGACAGGTAGGGCCTTGCGTGGCTCGTCTCAGGTCATTTCAGATTGAGAAATGTGAATGGAAAATGCCAGAATCACCATTCTGGGAGACGGTGCTGGAAGTCCCCTGCTGAGGGTTCAATTTCTTTAGGGACATTGTGTCTCTGATGACCTGGAAATCGAGCCAGTTCTGTGTCTTAATGTTTTTGTGGATGTGGCCAGGAGCTTTAAATAGTCTCATTCTGTTTTACACTCACATCTCTCATCTTCCGTGCTCAGAGAGACCCAGTCACCAGTGTGGTGTGGTCTCTAGCAGTCCAAGGACAAGGGCAGAGTCAGAAGCATGCCCTGGCCCTCAGAGCGTCCAGGTAGACATCAGTCATCCGGATGTCACCAGGGCGACATCACCCAGGTGCAGTCTGCGGCTCACTGGGTGTGGACTGGCTGCAGTTGGCTTCAGGTTCTGTGAGAAGATGGTGGCCATGGGAATGAGCTGTGTGAATCTGTGATGTTTCCACGCACCACAGCTGTGTCACCGTCGGCGCTACTCCTAAGGCAGAACCTCAGGTTCACCCAGTAACTTTTATAAAGTGGCTGTGGCTACGCTTACACCGCACAGAAGCACGTGTCCTTAACAATATGCTGGTTTAGGTTTTTCACGGGCTTTTCCGCCCTTGTCTCCCACTGATTAAATCCGTGATATTTTATCGCATTGTGGGACAGGTACTATAGAGGCAGAAACAGAAGAAGAGCCACAGCCTAGAAGCAGCTAGATTAGGAGAAGACTTTGAAAGCTCCCTCATGTCCATGTGTGAGTGTGAAAAGGTAGAAAAGTGCAGTGGCTGCTAACTTGGAACTTGCACATCTCTGCAGCAGGACGTCATGAGGTACCCTCCCCGTCGTGGCTTCGGTCTGTGGGTGTCAGCGCTCTGCCTTTCTTCAGGGTCTCTAATTCTTCTGCCTTTTCTTCCTCCCTGGATGGCACCTGGGTGCCTAGATGGCCTCAGAGGCAATGAGGAGAGTGAGGGATGACCCTGCCTTCCCACTGCTCCTCACTGAGTGAGAACGAGTTCTCCAGCTCTGATCTGCAGCCCAAGGACAGCACTGCCATCAGGGAGCCCTTTGTGCCTGGAGCCAGCAGCCCGGCCCAGTGAGGAGCCCAAGGGGGCTCCCTCAGGGGCCTCTGAAGGTCACAAGCATGCCCAGGGAAGGGGAAAGGGAACATCACACGAGGCTTCAGACAGACGTGGGACCAGCAGGGCATGCTAACCAGTTACTGCTTCTGAGTCCCAGGGAGATTCCAGAACAGCCTCCAGCCTTACCCCATGCCTCCCTCTCCCAGAGATGTTTTGTTTGGCTGTGTAAAAAGAAGCCCTAATTGTAGGTACACATGCCAAGAGGTAACCACTCAGGCCAAATTGTGTAACTTAGTAGTGAGGAAGCCTGTCATTAAACACGCTTACGTGAACTTTGCTCTATATTTGTTTGATTAGAACACTCGGCTCCATTCACACACACTTGGCTTCCTGGTCAGCTGCCTGCGTGGCTCAGTTGTGCATGACTACTTCCTGTCCTCAGCGGGCCTCTCAGACCCACGTGGGGCAGGGATGCTGGGTCACCTCTACATCTGGCCCAGCATCGGCCCTCCAGCTCCACGCAAGCCCTGTCATGAACCCCCTCTGCAACACAGCTGGGGCTCCCACTTCTCTCAAAACTGCCCGGGTTCTGGAGCTCCTTTTTAAAAACTTCTGACTTACAAAGAGTCCGATGTGCTGTTTTCAGTGCTGGTCATTTTGTACTCACCGGGTGACTGAATTTCTATGGAGGCAACAGAACAACTGTCTGTTTCAGTCCCAGTTCTGCCACCTTCACTGTGAGAGCCAGCTGTCACTTAACCCCCCACCCCCGAGCCTCCGTCCTCACGTGGTTGGTGGGGTGGTGATGACGGTGACTGAGGACTCAATGCGGTTCTACAGAGAAAGCACTCAGTTAAGTCCCCGGCATGTGGTACCCAAAGATGAGCGTTGTTACCAAAGGAGAAAAGACTTTAGTCTTTGCACAAGATCATTAAAGCCCATTGTGAGGATCAGGGTACGTTTCTGGAGGAAACAGGACACCCACCACTGATCTTTCTCCTTCCCTTATTTCTATTACCTTTCCAGAGTGTCTTCCATTCACAAAGTAAAAAGCAAACAGAACCATATCAGATGGGGTAAAGGATTAGATTGAGGCCAAAGTTTCCTTAGTGCCTTTTTTTTGCCTTCACTTCCCACCATGCAGAGTTTCAAACATGTACAAAGTAGAAAAAGTACAGTGAACCCACATGACCCACCATGTGTCCAGCATTGTCAATGCAGTCACCCCTGCTTCATCCATACCCCCACCCAATTCCCACCACCACGAGCAAGTCCCGGATTCAAATCCCAGACTTAATATCACTTCTGAGTCAGCATTTCAGTATGTATCTCCAAACATACACGTGATTCTTTAAAATGCGTTATTACGTATCCCTCTAAAAATTATCAGTTATTTCTGAAGTCATTAAATATCCAGTGTTCAAATTTCCAGTTGTTTCATCCTGTGGAAAACAGCTTTTCAAAGTGCCACTCAGTTCTCAGGGTTCCTTGTGGCTCCTGGTCAGTCTTTGTCACTCGCCTTCTCCGTGGACAGAGCTAGGAAGTTGTTTTTTAATATAAAAAACATTGTGAGTTCATACTGGTGTTTTTAATTCATATTCATGACTAGAAAGCTGTCTGTCTCCCTAACTCTTTGATCTCTGTCTCCTCTCCCCACGCTGGAACCTGTATGCGCGGGGACTTGGGGAATGATAAATTCAGTAATGTCACACGATCACTTTTCCTCTTTATCCCACAACACACAAAAGATACCAGTTTCTGAATAGCAGTACTAGCCAACTGTCCACAAACTGTTCCCCAAAGCCCTTGCAAGGATGTTTTTCTTTTGCTTTGTATTGTCATTTAGAGTCTACAAAGTGGTTCTTTACTCCCTTTGCTTATGAGGATAATCCCTTAGATACATTTGCTGCACTTTGCTTTTAATTTAGGAAGATGTTTTTAAAAATTGATTTTGTGTTTTAACTATACAGAAAGCTACATTGTTACAGAGTCAAATCTATAAAACAAAGTGTATTCCAAGAGGTTTAGCTTCTGGCCCTGTCCTTTACCCTATTGTCTCCCTCCCCCTTAGAGATTACCATCTAAAAAGCGGTTCCATTGCTTATTTTAGGTGTACTTTTTTTTTTCTTTTAAATAAGCAGCTGCTTCATTTGCTTTTATTCTCTGTTTTGGTATAATTTTTGGTACTTAGAAAGGTTTCTGTTTTTGTTCCAGTAATTTCCTTTATGTAAAAATGTTTCCATTCTACCCTACTCCTCTCTTTTTTGGGTTACTGTTATCAGTGACAATACTTAAGTTAGCTTGTAACTCTTCTTCCCCCTCCTCATAATGTACTCCAGTATGATTAAAATATGATAACCTTTCACTCAGTTACGACAAGGCAGTGGCTAGCTTATTGTACTAGTCACACCCTCTCCTTGTTACCTTTCCACCTCCTGATGGTAGTGCATGTGTGTCGACAGGGCAAGTGGCCATGCGTATGATGCTGTCACCCAAGAACCATCAGTTAGTGCATAGTCTTGGTTCCACAAGTAGATTAGATGTGGTACCCCCACCAGTCTCTTATGCCGATGTATCTCCATTGGGTGAAGCTCAAGCTCATTCACTTGTGCAGCATTTCTCACATTTTTTGATCCTATTTATACTACTGAAAAAATTATTGAAGACCCCCAAAGAGCTTTCATTTATGTAAGTTATACCTGTTGGTATTGATGTATTTGAAACTCAAGCAGAAACTTTAAAAATCCTTATTAAGTTATCTTTAAAATAACTCATTACATGTTAACATGAGTAATATATCTTTTATGAGAAACAACCATTTTTTTCCAAAACCAAATTTTCATGAGTGGCATTATTTTACATTTTTTTCAAATCTCTTTATAATGTCTGGCGTAATAGAAGACAACTGGATTCTCACATCTGCTTCTGTATTCAACCTGTTGTAAGGTATTATCTTGATGTATGAAGAAGATCTGGCTTTACACAGCTGAGTAGTTGGAAAAGGTGAGGAATATTTGAATAGACTTTCAGTAACTGGGGATATTCTTTGATGCCACACCAAAACTCACGAAGTGGTGGTTTCTTCAAGGTTAGTTGCAATATGAAATGTAATGACGGTCAATGAATTTCTTTGTACTCTGTGACCATGAAATCTACTGGGCAGGTCTCCTGCTTTGAAGGGATCTTCTGTTCATGGATGATTTTGTAACATCATGCCTTGGTCATTTGGAAAATATGGGTTCACTGAGATTTTCAAGCTCTTTTAAATGTTGACCGATTTCATTGTAAACTATTAAGCAAGTTGTACTCATTAGTGTCACTACTCTCATGAGACATCTTTAAGTGTTGGGAAGGTGTCAAACTTTCGGTAGTAGATCTAAGCCTTCCCAAATTCTAATTACCACTTCAGAGCTTGAATTTTATCATTGGCAGCCTTAGCAATTGAAGTGATGGGCTCACTGCCTTCATCTTCAAGATCTTCCAAATACCCAACTCCAAATTGCTGTTGTCTGTCTAAGCCTCCCCCGTACTTCCCATCTAAGCTCCCCTGTACGTCCCATCTCAGCTCCCCCACAACTTCCCATCTAAGCCCCCCTGTACTTCCTGTCTAAGCCTCCCCC